CTCTCTTGTGGGAAAGAGTGAAAGGGCATGCACTTTGGGTAGAATTTATACCATCTATGCCTCCAATAGCAGCAAAAGATACCCCCACAGTCTGACCCAAGGGAAGTGCTGGCCATGGTCAGAGTCAAGCACTGACCTCACACTTAATGGATTCAGGTTCTGCAAAGAACCAATCATTTGAGCCCATATGTTAATTGTAACATCTGGATGTCACATCAATGACAGAAAAGTGAATCATAAGGCCTTCCATTGTTCACATACATTCAGCCAAAGATCTGCATGAAAAAGTTGTATTTGCAGATAAACTTTCTTTAAATATCTCCTCAAAAAAAGTGTAGGGTGTGGGCACTATGTACTTCCCAAAGATTGATAAAACTAGGTCTGCATCTTGGTTCAGCAACCCTAATAGCTATTACTTTCTGAAACTGTGTTTTTATCAGTGAAATAGGGTTAAAAATACCTTATAACAAGGTTGTGTGTGATAATAAAAGGAAATAGGTAGGACCATGTGAAGAGGCTGATGTCTGAAAAAAATGTGGCCTGGAAACACAAGGCAGTTTACATTTAAGGTAGTTGTCCTACTTAGACCAATTCCTCAAAAAGCTTGAAATAAACAATCCTGAGCTAATTTTTTATTAATGACGTTAACAGGAGCCAGGAAGGATTAGAAATATCTCCTTGTGCAGAGAAAGCTCTGTACCAGGTTGTAGATGGCTGACATCTGTTTTTTTTTTTTTTTTTGATAGTAGGGATTTGAACCCAGGAGTGATTAACCACTGAGCTACATCACCAGTCCTTTTTATTTTTTATTTTGAGACAAAGTCTCCCCGAGTTGCTCAGGGCCTCGCTAAGTAGTTGGGGCTGGCCTTGAACTTGTGATCTTTCTGCCTCAGCCTCCCAAGTCACTGAGATTACAGGTGTGTGCCACCATGCCCACTTTTTAAAAAAAAAATAATTTTAGTTGTACATGGACACAATACCTTTATTTTATTTACTTATTTTTATGTGGTGCTGAGAATTGAACCCAGTGCCTCCAAGCACTCTACCACTGAGCCACAACCCCAGCCCCTATGCCCAGCTTGTTGAGTGATATCTTTTTTATTTTTATTTTTTGATTCTAATTTGTTATATGATGGCTGATATCTTAAAACTTAGATATCTAAGAAAAGTTTATCAAGCCAAGTGTAGTGGCGCATGCCTGTAATCCCAGCAGCTTGGGAGGCTGAGGAAGGAGTATTGCGAGCTCAAAGCCAGCCTCAGCAAAAGTGAGGTGCCAAGTGACTCAGTGAGACCCTGTCTCTAAATAAAATATAATAGGGCTGGGGATGTGGCTCAGTGACTGAGTGTCCCTGAGTTCAATCCCAGGAACCCCAAAAATGAAAGGCTCATTGGGTCATGCTGATGCCCTTTGCTGAATTAGGAGATCTCTGCAGAACCTCAGAGGAAGGTTAGTCCATCTCCCCACTAATGCAGGAACCAGTCTATAGCATTCCTGCTGCACCTGCTTGAACACCTCTAAGGACAGAGCTCTTTCCATTAGTAGACTTGAAGTTTATAAGTTTCTCTTTCTAATGGAAAGAGAAGACTTGATCTTCAAACTTCAATCTGTGTCCTAGTTCTGTCCATTAGGATAAGCAGTCCTATTTTTTGTAGTAGTTCAGAACTGAGCTCCTTTTCATCAAAGTTCCCATTGTTCATCTTTTCAGAAACATGTCCTTGTATAAAACATTAGACTAAGAGCTCCAGGAGGGTGGGCCTTGAGGTGGTGAACAGTGGTCACTCAGTGCTTTGTGTGATGCCTAGTACGTGATAGGTACCCTGTGAATACTCGCTGCCATGGTCTAATGAGCAGAAGCCTTTGTGTAGGTTATGTGCCTCTAATCAGGAGTTTCCAATAGTGCTGTGCTTGGATCTTGACTATCCCACCTTTAGAGCTTTTTTGGTCTTTGACCTCAGGGTGACATTGTTTGAGAGGTGGTTGAGCCTTTGGAGCCTAGTAGGAGGTCCTTAGGTCATTGAGGGGTGTGGCCTCAAGGCAGATTATGAGACCCTGGCTCCTTCCTCTTTGCTCACTGACTCATAATGTAAATAATTTTACTCTGCCAAGTCCTCCTGCCATGATACTGCTGCCGTGCCATAGGCCCTTAACAATGGGAACAGTCATTTATGGACTGGTACTTCCAAAACTGTGAGCTAAAATAAACCTTTTCTTTTTTTTTTTTTTTTTTTTTAAATAAACTATTTTTTTTTTGAATTTTTAATATTTATTTTTTAGTTCTCGGCGGACACAATATCTTTGTTGGTATGTGGTGCTGAGGATCGAACCCGGGCCGCACACATGCCAGGCGAGCGCGCTACCGCTTGAGCCACATCCCCAGCCCAACCTTTTCTTTTTATAAGCTAATTATCTCAAGTATTTTGTTTTATTGACAGAAAAGTGTTGAATGCAAATATTTTGTAGTGAGGAGCTCACCTTGGTATGGGAGGGAAGTATGTGATTATGTGTGTTTTAGTGAGAATTCCTCACATTGAGTACCTGCTTTGTGTTCTGCTTGTGGTAGTTGCTTATATGGTCTCATTTGATCCTCATAACTTTGATGAAGTGGTTAGTTGACATTGTTTTAGCTCCACTGTATATGAGGAAACTGAGGCTACAGATAGGTTAATCCAGTGATAATTCAGGATTGTAGTCTTGAACCCTATGAAGTCCTAAGATATGGACTTTTTGTCTGTGTGTGGTGAGGAGGTACCAGGGATTGAACTTTCCCAGCCCTATTTTGTATTTTATTTAGACACAGGGTCTCGTTGAGTTGCTTAGGGCCATGCTAGGTTGCTGAGGCTGGCTTTGAACTTGAGATTCACCTGCCTCAGCATCCTGAGCTGCTGGGATTACAAGTGTTTGCCACCTTACCTGCCTATTGCCACCTCTTGAAAATAGCCAGTGATAAGCTATCAGAGCACACTTCTCATCCCCCCAGAAATTTTCTTATCTTTCATATGCCCCCAGGTTGTTATAGCTCTGTCAGGGAGGAGGTGGCATGGGTCCTTGTGTACTTGTGTTCTGTGAACAGGGCAGGGGATGTAGCTTAGTGGTGAAAAACCTTTAGGTCAATCCCCAGTGCCCACTGCTGTTCTCCAAAGTGAGTTCTTTGTACAGGCTAAGTGCCCAGAATGTTTAATGTGTTCATTGAATAAAATATACAAAGTATACTAATCATATAAGAATATACTAATCATATTCATGGCTCAGCTGCCATGAATTTCCCTCTGCAAGAATACTTCAAAAAATTTTAAAAATTTTTTTTAGTTGTAGATGAACACAATACCTTTATTTTTATTTATTTTTATGTGTTGCTGAGGATCGAACTCAGTGCCTCAAACATGCGAGGCATGCGATTTACTGCTGAGCCTCAACCCCAGCCCCCCAATTTTTTTTTTTTTTTAATTTTGAAACAGGGTCTCACTAAGTTGCCCAGGCTGGCCTCGAACTCACAATCCTCCCATGTAGCCTCACAAGTGACTGGGATTATAGCCATGTACCACTGCGCCCAGCTGGATAATTTAAAAATTTGCTGAGATTATTTTAGGTAAAAAAAAAAATATTTTGGTATAGAAATAAAGAACTAAACATACTGTGTAAAGCTGCAGGTCATCAGGGCATGCTAGTTCTACCTAGAATGTTACCATAATTGTGCAGGGGCTGGAGGTGGGGCTCAGTAGTAGAGCACTTGCTTATACATGTGAGGCCCTGGGTTTGAGTCCCAGGACTCCAAAAAGAATTAAAAAAAAAAAAATCAAACTATGACAAATTCAAGATTGAGATTTTCCTTGTTTAAAAGGGTGTTGGGCTGGGGTTGTGGTTCAGCGATAGAGTGTTCGAGGCCCTAGGTTCGATCCTCAGCACCACATAAAAATAAATAAATAAAAGGGTGTGAATCAGGACTTTAGAAAAACTGAAAATGCCCATGTTGACTTCTGGAAAGAGCTTTCAGTTCTTGTTTCTTTGCTTCAGTTGAGAGCCTGCCATGGATGCTGCCCTATCAGGAAGGTCTGGGGTAGGGTTTCAGATCTCTTAGCTGTCTCAGTTGGGTGAAGGGATCCATGCATTTGTCTGTGTGTCTGAAACTACAACCCTGAAGAGAAGCCAGGAGGTGGCAGAGAAGGACTTTGCTTCCAGGCATTGGTGTTGTCCTTGGGAGCAGGGTGGTCCTGGGAGCTGGCCAAGTACATTTTGGCATACATAGTTTCTCAAACGTGTCTATGACCTACAGAAAGGTGCCTTACATATGACACATCCACGCAATGTGAAATGATATTTGACTTTATGTGAAGCACTCTCACTTCTGTTTCCTTAAAAAAAAAAAAAATCCCAGCAGTTTGGGAGGCAGTTCCTAAGGCAGAAGGATCATAAGTTCAAGGTTCACAAGGCCAGCCTCAGCAACTTAGAGGGGCCCTAAGCAATTTAGTGGCATACTGTATCAGAATAAAAAATAGAAAGGACTGGGAATGTGGCTCCATAGTTAAGCACCCTGGGTTCAATCCAAAAAAAAAAAAAAAAGTGCTGGTCTCTGATCTCTCAGTGGCCTGGCTGCTCCGGTTGCATCACCTGGGCATCTGCTGGATTGCTGAGGGCTCCTGGCTTTTCCCTGCACCTGCCTCACCCTCTGCACTTAGGTCTCACTTGGTAGTTTGAGAAGGCCTGGCATGGGTCCAGTGGGTCTGGCCTGCTAGGTGGAGGGCAATGCTGGGGTGTGGTCCTCTCCCACAATTGGGTGAAGCCAGTGGTGCTGTCACTGTGTCACTCTGAGCCTTCATTGCTTCTGATTTTCTTTTTTTTTTTGGCGGGGGTGTGACGGGGATGCTGGGGATTAAATTCATGGGCACTTGACCACTGAGCCACATCCCCAGCCCTATTTTGTGTTTTATTTAGAGACAGGGACTCACTGTGTTGCTTAGTGCCTCACTTTGGCTGAGGCTGGCTTTGAACTCGCCATCCTCCCGTCTCAGCCTCCTGCGCCACTGGGATTTACAGGCATGCGCCATTGCACCTAGCTTGCTTCTGATTTCTATTGCTTATAGCAGACTCAGTCTTACTTTACTTCTTGTGGATGCTGGGGAAGGAACCCAAGGCCTTATGCATGCTAAGCACGTGTTCTACCACTGAGTTATACCCCCAGTCCCTCAGTCATACTTTTATATGGGCAAAAATTTTACATTTTAAACTCTTTATTCAAGGCTAATTGTATATTATGTTAAATCACTTGGTTTTGTTCTCATGGCTTCCTGCTTGTTGTAGACATAATTGTGAGGAAGTAGAACTTCCTCAGAAACAAGCACACATGGATTCCAGAATAAGAGCAAATTCACTCTAAACACAGGAAAAAACCTGAGGCTTTAATTAAGGGGCTAAATTCATCCCCAAAATGCTTTTGTGGGCACTGATTGCTCAAGCTCATGCGTCACTCATGCGTGAGTGTGAGGAAAGAGGGCCACAGGTTTTCAATTGACATGTATAGATGCCAAAACAGCTGGTACTGGAGCTTAAAATACCCCAGTCTCCAAAGAAGAGACCCACATCCACAAAACATTGACTTCAGGGCTGCCAAGAAGGATGGGCGGCAGTAGAGCCGGAGGGAAGTGGCCATGGGCCTGTGCAATGCTGCTACTGCTGCTCTGGGGGGCCACAGCCACTGCTCTTCCCCTCGAGAGTGGCCCCAGCCGCCAGGACAGCACGGTGAGTACAGTCTCTGCTTGGCCACATGCTAGCCTGTTACCAATGTATCTCTTTGCCTGGCACTTTGGCTACCCTGTGGGCTCCCAGCATCTGCGTGGCCGAGTGTGTGTGCACAGGGCAGGGCAGAATGCTGAACTCCAGTGTCCTCAGCTGCCCTATCCCATTCAGACTATTGATTTTCATGACTTCACTTGTTCCAGCCCGGGAAGTTTGTCAGAGACCTCGGCATTTCATGGGGAGCCTCTCTCCTGTGCCGGCTCTGCCTCTGCTAGTCTGATATGCTGCGAGTACTCCAGGCCATCTCTTTGCACTCGTGGAGTGGCTCCTGCCTGTATTCTAGAGCCTACTTCTAGAGCCTTCATTTACTTATGTAGCCATATTCTCAGATTAATTGACATCATTACATTTTCCACCATGAGAATTTGTAATTTCATGGGTAATTTATTTCTCTTTTTCCTTTTTTGAAAAGGTTCCAAGAAGAGTTCATAAAGTTGACCATTAAAAATGGATTTTTCTCCACAATTACCAGATGAGTTTCAGACAGGTCATTTATCATCAGATTACTCTTAGAAGCTTTCAGTGGATTTGAAAGGTCAGGCTGTGAGTGAAGCTTAGTGGTAGAGCACTTGCCTCCTAAGTGAAAGGCACTGTTTCAATCCCTAATATTGCCCCTCAAAATAATAAATAAATAAGAGACCACAATTTAGCATCTCAATCTGATCTGTATCAGAGAAAGATGCCCTAAGGTGGGACAAACTAAATTAGCCTGATTCACCTTAGGCTTCCTAGTTGCCAGTCATTTGTCTGGGAGGTGTTAGGGAGGTTGTGGTGACAGATTTCCCCACCCCTCTAATTAAGCACCTCAGCAAAGATTATGGGACAGAACTATCAGGTTTTTTCCTTGTCTGACAATTATTGACTTTCCTCTAATTAGAGCAATTTTTTAAAGGTATTCTCTTAACTTTCTCATCCTTTATTTTATTTCTTTGTAGTGCTAGAACCCAGGGCTCTGTGCCTGCTAGGAGTTGACTTTCTCACCCTTTGAATACAAATGTGATTTGTGTTAAGGAATCTTTTCTTTCTTTTTTTTTTAAAGTGAGAATTCACATACCCTTTAATGCCACTGAACCCGATGGTTGATTTTTCTTTCCTTTGTCATCTGCTTCTCTTTGAAAGCATATGCAAGAAGTGGCAGAAATAAAGAAAAATGGCCTCCTGACTTTCCTTGCTTGGTGGCATGAGTGGACTTCTCAGGCCAGTCCTGGAGCCCTTACTGGAGGGGATGCCAGTGAGGTTTCCAAACGGCAGGAAGGCCCACCCCTTCAGCAGCCCCGTCGCCAAGATAAAACGCCCTGCAAGAACTTCTTCTGGAAGACCTTCTCCTCCTGCAAATGAACCACCCAGGATTACTTACTTATGTAAAGTATAATGGTGGACCCAAATAAAGTGTATTAAGCAGCAGGGTTCTTTCTTTGTGAAGCAGTTTCTTCTTCCCACTTTATTCAAAAAGTATTTTTCAGTTTCTTGGGAACTTAGACAGAAAAATAGCAAGTTGGAGGTAAGCCTGTGTGTCGTCTTGGCATGACCTTGTCTCAAAAGTAGAAAGAGAAAATTTCAATGATACCCAATACTGAAAGTATTTAAAGCAGTAATTGGGAACCCAATTGAATACTGTATGTTGTAAGTGTTGCTGGGGATTCAACTTTGGCATTCTACCAACTGAGCTACATCCCCTGCCTTTTTTAAAATTTTATTTTGATAATGGAACTCATTAAGTTGCTGTGACTAGCCTCAATCTTATGATCCTCCTTTCTCAGCCTCTCTAGTTGCTGGGATTATAGGTGTGCCAGATGGTAGATTTTTCTTGTCATCTGCTTCTTTTTAAAAGTATATACAGGAAGTAGCAGAAGTAAAGAAAAATGGCCTCCTGACTTTCCTTGCAGTCTGGCCCAAGTGAATATTTTTAAAAAGGTTTTCCACATTTTTTATTGTTGCATTATAATTGTACATAATGATGGGACTAATTGTTATATATTTGAAGGTTTATAATGTAACAACAATATAATTTGGCTAATTTCACTCTCCAGCACTTGCCCCCATTTCCCACCCCCTGGGTGAATACTTTTTTTTTTTTTTTTGAGATCCAATTCAGGGGCTCTTAACCACTGAGCCACATCCCAGCCTTTTCTTATATATTTGATTTAGAGACAGGGACTCACCAAGTTGCTGAGGCTGTCTTTGAACTCTGGATGCTCCTGCCGCAGCCTCAGGAGCCTCTGGGATCACAGGTATGTGCCACCATGCCTGGCTGGGTGAATATTTTTGATAAAGATCTTAGTGGTTCTTGCCAGATTCAGTTGCCCACACCTGTAATCTTCAGGGACTTGGTAGGCTGATGCAGGAGAATTGAAAGTTCAAGGCCATCCTGGGCACTTTGGTGAGACCCTGTCTCAAAGTTTAAAAAATAAAATCAGTGTCTGGGGGATGCAGCTCAGTGGCACAGCACTTGCCTAGCACATTCAAGGACCTGTGTTTCATTCCCAGTAATACACACACACTTTCTGGTGGTTCTTGCTGAACTGGGTTCCATGTCATTGGGCTTTTTTTCCCACCTTCATTCTGGTGCTTGACAGTCAGTTGTGTCCTTGTCTTCCTTTGAATTTAAAAGTTAAAGGCTGCACATTTAAGAGTTTAGAATAGCATCTTATTTCAGTTCATTTTGATATGAATTGTCTAATTTAAAACAATGTTTCTGGGACTGGGGATGTAGCTCAATGGTAAAGTGCTTATTTAGCATGAAAAAAGCCCTGGGTTCCATCCCAGCACTGCAAACTTTACAAGCAAATTTTTAACATGTGTTCAAAGAGCAAAATGATTGATTATTCCTCATGTTTTAGCTAAAATTAATTTTTAAACAAATGTTATGCTATTAAATAGACATCATGCTGACATGTTTATAAAAGTTAAATTCAAATTTGCTGTTATGTACCAGTTTTAATTAGTGACTTAATATTAATTTGTTACAATTCTTTCCATGGATTATAGCTTCAGTTTTGCTTTGTGAGGAAAGATGTCTACTTATAAAAATATTATTTCAAACCAGATGCACCAAGCTGCGCTACTGCCCAGTCTATTGCCTGGTGCCTCAACTTATTTTTTCCTTTTTTTTTTTTTTAACTGGGAATTGAACCCAGGAGTTACATCCTCAGTCCTTTTTATTTTTCATTTTGAGACAGAATCTTGCTAAATTGCTGAGGCTGGCCTGGGATGACAGGCGTGGCCACCACACCTAGTTCTGGTGCCTGAATTTATAAGACTAGGACCTCCGCTGTCTTGTGTATAGACTTTGTTCAGTGACTAATATATATTTTTTGAATATTTGTCAGACTGGTTTACCCATTCCTCAGTGGTTTCCAGGGAATGATGATTAAATGAGGTAGAATTCTGTTTTCTGTGATGTAACACATCCTCATTGAGCAGGATCTCCTAGTAAATAAGTCTCTGGGTTGCAAAGCCCTTTCACATGTTAATTCTCCTTCATAGCACTTAAATCCTCATTTGATGACACATGTTGTTTATAACTCTGGAGACATAGACTCTAAGGAAACATCCAATTTGAAGGTTCAGAAGCCAAACTGTATGACAGACTATTCAAGAATGGCACAGCAACAGGTGGGGGAGGCATGCAATGGGGTCTTGTGGGGGCTGGGAGTTTGGGCTCAAATCCCTAGATGCTAAACTTTAAAGCTTAGAGATCCACACCCTGAGTTTATAAAGTTTCTGCGGCCTAACACTGGGAAAACCAGCCAAGCTTGGCTGGAGGACTCTGGAATATTATCCTGTTCTCTAGACACCAGGGAGCAGACTCTCCAAGTATGACTGCTGACCATTCCATTCTGTTTTCCACAGAGCTGAGCTCATATTCATAATTACTAGCTGAATAAAGTCTAATGTGATGGAAGAGACTTAATAGCATCCACATTTCCAAACACAGCAGCTTCAAGAGAGCCGTAATTGGGTCAGTGCACTGGTGGAGGACGCCTGCCTCAAAGGCCAGTTAACCTCCAAAACTTTGTCTCAAGATTTTCCTAAAAGAAAACAGACTCTTTGTTTTTCAGTTTTAAATGGGGTCCTCCCTGCTGCACAATCCTTAAGACTGGGTTTTTTAAAAATATATTTTTGTAGTTCTTTAAAAATATATATTTTCTAGCTTTTTTTCATTTATTTACTTAGGTACCAGGGATTGAACTTGGGCATTGGATCACTGAACCACATCTCCAGCTCTATTTTGTATTTTATTTAGAGATAGAGTCTCACTGAGTTGCTTAGCACCTCGCTTTTGCTGAGGCTGGCTTTGAACTCACAATTCTCCTGTCTCAGCCTCCTGAGCAGCTGAGATTATTGACATGTACCACCATGCCCAGCTCTTTATGCTTTTATTGCTTTTTGGTACCGGGGATTGAACCCAGGGGCATTTTACCTCTGAGCTACATCCTCAGCCCTTCTAATTTTTGAGAAAGAGTCTTACCAAGTTTCTCAGAGCCTTGTTAAATTGCTTAAGGCTGCCTTCAAACTTCTGCCCTCCTGCCTCAGCCTCCTAAATTGCTGGGATTATAGAAGGGAGCCACTGTGCCTTGTATTTGTACCTTTTAATAAGTATCTGAGAATAATGAGACTCCACTAGTGATACCACCAAGAAGTCCAACAAGTACAGGGAACTTCATAAAATGTTTGCTGGCATGGTCTGAATGTTAAAACTAGATTAAAATGCTCATGATTAGTAAATTAAGGCTAAATGGTGATTTCCTTCCATCAGGTTTTTGGCAGGCTTTTCTTAAAGCTACCTTTCTGTAGTTCAGTGCAAGTCCTGGGTCATCAGGCACTAAACAGCTTCAAATTCACCACTTGTTATTTTTGGTATTTGGCACCAGAATAGATCTTTAGCTTTTGAGAAAGAACTGAGTTGATGAGCATCTCGCAGAACTCCTTCATAACATTCAACTTTCAGGGCTGACAGCAAAGTATTTCAGGCCAACCTCAGTGATTTTTCGAGATCTTCAATAATAGCAAGACCCTGTCTCAAAATTAAAGCAGGGGGGAAAAAAAGACTGGGGATGTAGCTCAGTCTACAAAAAAAATTTAAAAAGCAAGCGAGAGACAAACTGAAGGAAAATGAATTGAACAGCTAATTAGGAAATTAAGCAGCTAAACAATCTGGTGAGTAAAGGCACATTAATAATTCTTGTAATTAACAGTTTTTTTTTTAAATAGACTACTATTATTTTATTCCTTTCTCTCTGGAAAATGAAAAATCCATTAGTTTTTTTCCTCTTGCTTTTACCCAGAAATTAAAGGTTGCTAAGTGGTAATTAGCACAGCTCTTGTCAAAGCCAATTGCCTAATGGGGACCGACATTTGACTCAGGTTCAAAGAATGGAATACGGCTAATGGAGAGTTCATTAGTCCCAGCTGCTTTCTTTGACGTTCTTTTCTCCTACCAGAACAGGCAGACCCCACTTATTCTCTCCTATTTTTAGACATATGGCTGTGCTGTTATGTTCTAGAAGGCCTGAAGGCACAGCGGCATAGGGAAGGTGAATGGTACCAGGGCCTATCTATGTTTGCAACTGTTCTTAACACCTGGGCTGGTTTGCAGACTGAGGTCTTTGCCCTTTAGATCCATTGACAGAAATAGACATTTTTCTTCTAGAAGGACAAATATGGGGTGTCCATATAATTGGTGAATAGAAGAACCTTTCTACATTTTCATAAGTTCACTATCATGCAAACTGTTCAGAATTGACTGAGCTTATGTACTGCTCTGGTACCACCAGCAAGAAGGCTGTGGGTGTTGGCAAGTTATAGACATATCAGGCTTTTCCCAGTTGGAGCTGACTCCAACTTGCCACATAGGTATACAAATCCCAGTGACCTGGAGGAGGTAGACTAAACAAGTGTGTGCAGACCTAAAACAGATATAAAGAAGTGGAAAGAGAGGGCTGGACTGTGGCTCCGTGGCAAAGCGCTTGCCTTGCACATGTGAGGCACTGGGTTCAATCCTCAGCACTACATAAAAATAAAGAAAAAAGAAGTGGAAAGAATACTAGCATTAGAAACTGGAATACCTGCCTTTGAATCCCCACCCTCTGAGGCAAGTCACCGAACCTCACTGAGCCCCTTTGCTCATGTACAGAATGACACAAGTTACGTACTACTTATTCACCCAGTTTTTTAAAAATATTTTTTTATTATACGTGGACACAATATCTTTATTTATTTTTATGTGGTGCTGAGGACTGAACCCAGTTCACTCACATGTGCTAGGCATGCACTCTACCACTGAGCCACAACCCTAGTCTCTTATTCATCCAGTTTTGTGAGGCTCCAATGTGCTAAAAGCTAAGACACAATAGACTGAAAACTTCTAGAAAAATCCTCAGTGGGCATAATTATCCCTCCAGGGC